GTCTCTCTCTCTCACACACACACACACACACGCAGAGAGATAGGTTTCTCAGAGTGGAATGGCTAGGTCAAAGGAAATGTACTCTTTTTATGTATATTTTAACCCTGTCACCTCACTGACTCATACCAGTTTCCCACCCCCACTGACCATGCATTCAGGATCACGCCTGTTTTCCCGAGTCCTGGCCAGGAAATTGTGAAGTCCATCTTTGCCTTCACCAATCTGATAAGCAAAAAAATAATAATAATAATAATAATAATAAAAGATCTCTTGTAGGAAATTCCTTTTGTACCCGCAGGAAGGAATTTTTGAGAAGCAGAGGAATGCCCAAGTCACACGTGTCAGCTGCTTTCATCCCGCCGTCAGTCCAGACAGCGCCTCCGTGTGAATGAGAAGAAGGCACTCTGCTTTGAGACCCTTGAAAACTGCTGTGACACCTACACAAACCCCGGGGGGGACTTTGAGGGGCAGAGCGCCCCTGGAATGGTGCACGCCCTGTCCACGGGAGCCAGCACGATGGCTTCTGGGTAGTAACCAGATTGCCTGGAATTCATGTCCACGCTGCTGGACAGTGGAGCAGGAGGGCATCGGCTTGGGGGATAGACAGAATGAATGGGAACTTCATTATCCGTGGTTATGCACTTGGAGCCTGGGTCCCAGGCAACTCTGATGTTAGTAATTTGGCTAGGGAGCTCATTAAGCTCTTAAGAAAAGTGAGTCTAGTTAATGAATTAATACAAGATGACATTTTACACACAGAGCAAAAACGAGACCAGACACCACTGACTTATGTAACATAATTTCTTAAGTGAATGTGATGGCCGCTTCTCGCCTGCCAACGCGGGCCCATCAGCAGAGGGCCTGCCCTTGGAGACGTTACTGAAACTGTCAAGACCCATGGGCATCTGACATTCCATTCACTGAAGGAGCTCTCTTCTTGTATTCCTAAAACCACAAGTGGTTCCACAGAAGTCAAGGTCTTAAAACTGGACCCATTGGTTTTCCGTTGTGAAAACCCAGCCACTTTCCTCTTTTAAGAAACATATCTCGCCCTGGCTGGTGTGGCTCAGTGGATTGAGCACCAGCCTGTGAATCAAAAGGTCGCTGGTTTGATGCCCAATCAGGGCACATGCCTGGGTTGTGGGCCAGGCCCCCCACTGGGGGCATGTAAGAGACAACCTATCCATGTATCTCTCACATGTTTCTCTCCCTCTCTTTCTCACTCCTTTCCCCTCTGTCTAAAAGTAAATAAATAAAATCTTTAAAGACTCCCCAAAGCAACAAAACCCTTCTTTAAAAAGAAAAGAAAAGAAACATATCTCACTGGAAAGGAAATTCCTCAGTCCTTATCCTGTCCCCCGCCTTACCCGCCACCCCCCGCCAAAGCAGATCTTCCAGCCTCTCTCTGGTCCAGAGAAGTTCAATGGAAAGACTGTGAACACCAAGGATTAGCATTAACTAGTTTGGGGTGATGGAAAGTTCTGCAGGTGGATGGTGATGGTTTGCACCGTAGTGTGAATGTACTTAATGTCACTGAACTGTACACCTAAAAATCGTTAAAATGATCGATTTTGTGTCGTACACATACTCACACGACCTTGCCAGGCTCTTTGCTCAGAACTCTGGGGACACTGTAGTTTACCCTCTCAGTAACCAAGGAGATGGCCACTGTTATTTACACAGAACCACCACCGTTTTAAAGATGAGGCATCAGAGGCTCATAAAAGTTCAGTCACTTCCTTGAGCAGCAGCCAGGCGTGATGGTCCCAGGATTCAACCCCTTGGCTCTGTGCTGGCTGCAGACAACAAAATAAAGAGGATAGTTTACGTCTGAATTCTGAAACTCAAGCCCCCACCCAGTTTTTTAATGATCTGAACTGAGAACAGACAGAACTCCAGCAGAACCCCTGAATGACAGCTAATTGTCTCTGGAAATTTTCAGCGCTATCTCCCTGCCCTAACTCTCTGGAGCATGCTTCTGCCTTTTGTCTGGGGTTTTCTTTGCTTCTTTCTGTCAGTTAATCACTGAATGACCCACAGGAATGTTGTAGCTTTCATTCATGTTTGAGCGTAGCTGGGAAGAAAATTAGCACAAAGCCTGGAGCCCGAGGGGGAAGATCTGTCTCAGATGAGGGTCGTTTGGGAGAATTGGGGAATACCAATATTAGGAAGGAAGATAGTGTGTTTCAGCACGTGTGGAATATTTTGAAGGAGAACTATCTGGGTTCTAATGCTGACTCCTTACGTATGTGACATTAGACAAGTTAATTAACCTCTCTGAGTCAATTTGCTCATCTGAAAACTAGGAGTAATAAAACAATAAAAGCACCTACCTTACCAGGTATGTGAACACAGACTTTTTTCCATTGAATTGTGTGCACCTACTGAATGAATGCCTACTATGTGCCAGGCACACTAGGGGAGATACAATGATGAATGGAGCAAGCATCATCAAGTGATGAGGAGTGGAGTGAAGCTTAGCCCGGCGCCAGGGCACTGGCCCAAGGAGCAGGGGTCGCTGCTACCGCTGCATTACATCACACTAACCCCTCCTCACTGCTTCCCAGGTGGAAACGCACAGGGTGTGGTCACCAGATTTGCTCACTTGCACTGAATTTAGATTGTTCTTCCAGCTGGGCCGCAGACGTGGGTAGTTGTGATTCTTCATTATTTTTAATGCATTTTTTCCATTACCATTTAGTCCTCTTCACCCGGCAGTCACCACACTGTTGTCCATGTCCATGAGTCCTTTTTCCTTTTTGCTCAATCCCTCCACCCCCTAACCTTCCCTACCCACTTAGCTGTCATCCTGTTCTCTATGAGTCTATCTTCGTTCTCCTTATTAGTTCAGTTTGTTCACTAGATTGGACATATGAGTGAAATCATATGGTATTTGTCTTTCTCTGACTGGCTTATTTCACTTAGTGTAGTGTTCTCCAGGTCCATCCCTACGTCACAAAGGGTAAATTTTTCTTCTTTTTTACAGTTGAAAAGTGTTCCGTTGTGTGCATGTCTCATAGTTTTACCCACTCATCTGTTGATGGACACTTGGGCTTTTTCCATGTTTTAGTGATTGTAAATAATGCTGCAATGAACATAGGGGTGCTTACGTTTTTCCAAATTAGTGTTTGAGGTTCCTCTGGATATAGTCTCAGAAGTGGGGTTGCTGGGTCAAAAGCCATATTCATTTTTAATTTTTTGAGGTATCTCCATACTGTTTCCCACAGTGGCTGCAGCAGTCTGCATTCCCACCAACAGTGTAAAGGGGATCCCCTTTCTCCACATCCTCGCCAGCACTTGTTGTTTGTTGATTTATTGATGGTAACCATTCTGACATCTCATTTCTCTGATGATTAGTGATGTTGAGCATCTTGTCATATGTTTATTGTCCATCTGTATGTCCTCTTTGGAGTGTTTATTCAGGTCTTTTGCCCATTTTTTAATTGGATTGTTTGTTTTTTTGGTGTTGGGTTTTGTAAGTTCTTTATAAATTTTGGATATTGACCCCTTATCACATGTGTCTAGAAATACGTCCTCCCTTTCTGTGGGTTGTCTTTTTATGTTGTCTGTGTTTTCCTTTGCTCTGCAAAAACTTTTTAGTTTGATATAGTCCTATTTATTTATTTTTTCTTTTGTTTCCCTTGCCTGGGGAGATATATCAGATAAAATATTGCTATGAGCAATGTCTGAGATTTTGCTGCCTATGTTTTCTTCTATGATTTTTATGGTTTGGGGCCTAACTTTTAAGTCTTTATTCCATCTTGATTTTATTTTTGTGTGTGGTGTAAGAAGGTGGTCTAGTTTCATTTTTCTGCACGTACCTGTCCAATTTTCCCAACACCAGTTATTGAATAAACAAACTATCTTTAGCCCATTGTATGTGCTTCCTTCCTGTGCCAAATATTAATTGACTATAAAGGGGTGGGTTTATTTCTGGGCTCTCTATGTTGTTCCATTGACCTTGTGTCTGTTTTTATGCCAGTACCATGCTATTTTGATTATTGTGGCCTTATAGTATAGTTTGGTGTTAGGTAGCATGATTCCTCCAACTTCGTTTTTCTTTCTCAGGATCACTGTTGCTATGTGGGGCCTTTAGGTGATTCTTCATTTATTTCATGCTCACGGCAGCCCAGTGAGGTGGGCACTATTATTGTCCCCATTGTGCAGTTGGGAAAGTACTGCACAGAGAGGTAGACTACTTTCCAAAGGGCACACAGTCAGTAAGCCGAGCGGCTGGGATTTGAACCTAGTCTGGCTCCAGAGTCCACGATTTTAGCCCGTGCTGTGCTGGCTCTCTATCTCGAAAGCTGGGCATGGGCCTGGCGTAAAATAAGTGCTCTGCACACATAAGCACTTAGACACACGGACCAGTGTTCCTCGTGTATGTTACATTCAAGCTTCCAGGGAAAACTGATTTCTGCCATAGGAACTGCCCCTCCTGGATACTGTAGTTCCCGGGGCTGATACCCTTAAACAACTTTATCAAGGTATAATTTACATAACATAAAATTTCCCCATTTTGAGTCATTCAATGCATTGCCGTTAATTTACCGTTTTATATAGTCTTCACCACCTCCAACGTTTCCCTTACCCCAACAAGATCCCTGGGACCCGTTACCAATTAATCCCCATTTCCACACCCCCCTCCCCAGACCACCATTAATCTACTTTGTGTCTATAAATTTGTCTTTTCTAGACATTTTGTATACCTGGAATTATACAATATGGTCTTGTGTCTGACTTATTTTGCTTAGCATGACGTTTTTGAGGTTCATCCATGTTGTGGCATGTACCAGTGTTTTGTTCCTTTTTATGGCTGAGTAAAATTCCATTATACAGACATACCCCATTTTGTTAATCCATTCACCAGTCAGTAGACATTTGGGTGGTTTCTTGTTTTTGGCTGTTGTGAATCGTGCTGCTGCAAACATCTGCATACACGCCCTGGGGTGAGTTAAATGATCACTTTCTTCTCTTTTTTCCCCTTGGGGGTTTCTCAGAACCTGGCAGCGGGCAGGTGTTTGTGACTTCGGAGAACCAGCTCGTGTACTACCCCAGCATCACCTATGCCATCATCGGCAGCTCCGTCATCTTCGTGCTGGTGGTGGCCCTGTTGGCGCTGGTCCTGCACCACCAGCGGAAGCGGAACAACCTCATGACGCTGCCGGTGCACCGGCTGCAGCACCCTGTGCTGCTGTCCCGCCTGGTGGTCCTAGACCACCCCCACCACTGCAACGTCACCTACAACGTCAACAATGGCATCCAGTACGTGGCCAGCCAAGCTGAGCAGAACGCCTCAGAAGTGGGCTCCCCGCCCTCCTACTCAGAGGCCTTGCTGGACCAAAGGTGTGTGCCGGGTGGAGGAGATGCGGGGAGGGAGCTCATCCAGTGGGGGGAGCAGAATGTGTGCACACCTGGACTCCTGGGTCTTGCCAGGAGTCTGCATTCAGGTGCTGTAGGCACAGCAGCATCTGGCATTCGCTGGGTCCTTGCAGACCATTTACGTGCATCCTCTCGCTGCATCCTCTCCATGACTCGCTGAGGGTGGCTCTGTTTCCGCCTCGAGTTTACAAATGAGGAAACTGAGGCCATTGCATTTTAGTTACTTGTTAAGGGCATACAGTTAGGGCCCCGGCCAGCCGAGAGCCCTGCTCCTCCCTGTGACTGCCGCACTGGCACATGTGCAGCCCACTGGCTTTCACACTCGGAGGCCTCGGCTGCTACCCCAGAACAGTGTCCCCTGCATATTAGAGGTTTGGTTAATGTTTGTGGAATGAATGAATGAATGAGGGACCAAGTGAATGAATGAATGAGCCAATTAATTAGTTCCTTACCTTTGCTTGGCCTCATCCATAAAATAAAGGGGGCGGAGCAGAGCACTCTCACGCTTTGTTACACAGTGGAGCCCTCCCTGCAAATGGAGTCCGTGTATGAGGTCAGAACTCAGAGTTCTGAGGTTGAAGTGGGTAGTGGGCCTGCACCCTGCCTGCTCAGCCTCCCTCTCCCCCTTGCTGACCTCCAGGGTGTCCCAGAGGACCTGGGCTGGGGCTGTCCGAGTCCCATCAGGCTCTGAGATTGCCGTGCTCTCCCTGCAGGGCTCTGCTCAGTGTCCCTCTGCCTCTGAGCTCGGGACTGACTGGGTGTGAGCCCATGTTCCTGGGGTGACTGGCTTCCTCTTGCACCCTCCTCAGTGGCAGCTCTCGTATTATTTCATCTTTGCTTTCCCTCCTCATAAAAGGTAGCTTCAGGGAGCGGTGCTTAAGGATCTCTTTGCAAATTAGCATAAATATACAGGACCTCACTCCGCACTCACAACCTCTGATTTCACTGCAGAGTGAGGTTAAAATCACTGAAACCGAGACAACGCCTGGGTGCAGATCCCACCCTGCTGCTTCCACGTCACTGGTGATCCTGTGCCCCCCCTCCTCATTTCCCCCCCGAGTCAGTGCAAGGGCACAAAGCAACAGCTGCCTCTTCGTTCCTGTGGCCCTGACATGAAGGAGTGAGTGTGAGGCATGGGGCCCGGCCCGGCTCCGTGAGCTCTCAGTGAGTGAGCGCTGGAAAGGGAGCTGTCACTTCCTTGCAAGCAAAGCGTCATTAGTATCCCCTTCCACAGACAAGGAGACTGAGGTGTTGAGAGGGTGTGCTCTGTTACCCAAGTCCACACAGCCAGGTAGACCTAGCTCTCAGTAAGAAGTTCAGAGGTTCCGTCAAACACCAGGCCAGCGGCTTGGCCACAGGGGCCCCAGCCGATGGAGCAAAGCCACTTCGTCAGATCACCCAGGACGAGCCGAGGGTACACTTGGCATCCTCGCTCCGGCTCCACCCAGAGGATGTGGCTGGGGCACTGCCCAATGGGCACGAGCCAGCCGGAGCACACTGACCTGCGCCCAGCCCCAGCCCCAGCCCCAGCCCCGTCTCGCTGCACACCACCTTGAGCTGCCCCTGTGCTTGGAGGGCAGATCTTCCTCACGTCAGTCAGCGTATGCTCAAACGGGCAGAGGTTGGCACTGCCTGCCTTGCCTTGGCTCCTCGTAACGCATTCTCCTTCTTCTCTCCCGCCCCATCTGCCTTCTCCACTGCAGACCCGCATGGTACGACCTTCCTCCGCCGCCCTACTCTTCCGACACCGAGTCCCTGAACCAAGCCGACCTGCCCCCTTACCGCTCCCGGTCCGGCAGCACCGACAGCACCAGCTCCCAGGCCGCCAGCAGCCTCCTGAGCGTGGAAGACGCTGGCCACAGCTCAGGGCAGCCTGGCCCTCAGGAGAGCGCTGCCCAGCCCAGGGACTCCGGGCCCAGCCAGGGCACCGAAGAAGTGTAAAATCCAGTTATTCCAAAGTCCATGTGGGTTCATCTGCTCTGACTTGTTACCATCCTAACAACTTGCACTCATGGGAAGCTCTTCGGGGTGCCTCCAGGAGTGATCAGGGGCGTCAGCTGTCTCTCCTTTCCCTTCCTCCCGCAGATTTCAGGGATGTTCTTGGGAGGGTGACCTGGCGTTCCCCGGCATCTCAGTTGACATGACGTATATTGCGCATCTCTTCTGGGAGGTCTCCCTTCCGCTGGGGCCCGGGATCACAGCTTCACTCCTCGCACTGTTCTTCTGTTGCCACTGTAATCTGGCTGAGTAGGCGGCCGCACGAAGCAGGGTGCGAGAGCCCCGAGAAGCATGGTTTCTGCGCCGTGTTGGGCGTTCAGAAGGGCAGGAGACACTGGGCCATGTGCTCTGTGAGTTGCCATTTGGCAGCTGTGTTGGGGGTTTGGGGTCGAAGCCAGGCGAGTGTGGAAACCTTGCATTGTCCTGTGCTTAACTCTCAGTTCAGGGGAGGCGGTGCCCAGAGAAAACCTTTGGCATGAGTAGAGCCCTTCCGTAATCAGCCATGTCATTTTGGGTTTGCGAATGACCCTGAAACTGCCTGCTCTGGGTACATTCTGGCTCTAACATGTTGCCCGAGAATCCTCGTTTTGAGAGCTTTCTCTGGCAACATATTGCCAGAATAGGCAGGACATCCCCACCAGCGGTCTGTCCAAGTTCTCGGCTCCTGAAATGCAGGCTGCCAGGAGCTGAGCCCTGCTGTTGTCCACGGCCCCTTCCTTGGTTTCTGGCTCGTCGGCCTCCCAGCTGTGGCCTGCTTGTGGCCAAGGGATGAACACCCAGCCGAAGCTGGCCTAGAGTCCGATCTGGCCCTCCATCCCTATGAAGCACACCCAGCCTGCCCGGCCCATTCATGCAGCTTCAACACTAGCCTCCTAAGTCCCCTCAACACCCAGAAGTTGTTTCACCTGTGTGTTTGGACTTAACACCGGTTGCTCACACGTGAGAACCGTGTTCAGTACCTCCCAGCAGAGCTGCCAGCTCCCTGCACTGCGCACACTCCCCGTCGCAAGGCCCCAGTGGAGGGTTAGGGTTAGAGCAGGTTAAGCCTCTTCGGACATCCCATAGCTTCCCCCCTCAGAGACATGGACATGGACAATTTGGAGTCAGGATTTGCCATTTGGACTTTTTTTTTTTTAACTTTTAGAAATGCATTTGAAACGGTGTGTTTGTTTTTTCCCTTCCAGTTAAGGGACTATTTATATGTGTACAGGACAGCTGTCGTCGTCGTCGTCGTTTCTCAAGGGAGGTCCAAAGAACGATGCTTAGGGAGGTCACGCCTGTGTCCCGCTAATAATCCCTGATGACAAGTCACAACAGACCGACCTGCGTGCCCGGTGTTTGTGCGTTGTTGCACTTCGAGCTGTTATTTATCTAGTTCTCAAAGGACGCCGAGTGAGGGGGTGCCCTTCTCCCTCGGTCCCAGTCTCCGTGCTTGCTAGCTCTCCTCTCCTCCCCGCCCCGCCAGCCGCAGGGCCCGCCCCCCGGGGACACACTGGGTAGGAAAACCTAGGTGTTATTCGGCAAGAAACGGGCAGGGGACACAACTGGAACCAGGGGGCCACCCTGGGCAGCTGTTACCCATTCAGGGCTCCCCCCACAGCTCAGCAAACCTGCAGTAGCCTCTCGGATGCTAACCCCCGTGGAGCCTGCAGAGGGGGAATGAAGTGGCGGTCAGTGACCCTGTTCTGCAGACCCCTTTTTTCGAACCGGACCCAGAGGGTGTTCCAGGAAAGCTAACCACTTGTGATTTTTTTTTTTTTAAGGAAAGGAACCTAGTTGCTTGCATCCTTCATTTTTAAAATAACACTGTAGTTATTTTCTGAGAAGTCCAATGAAGAAAGAACTTTTGATGGCAGCCGGAGTACGTCAGAAACTCGGGCTGAACATTGCACCTCCTGTGAGTCGGAATGGCTGTACTCCTCCCTCGGGCGGGCCCCTGCTTCCGTCTGGTGCCCCAGACCTTGTTCCGGGGCCAGGGTTCTGGTTTTAGTGAATAGTGAACAGTGCAGTGAGTGCGTGACGCTCTCGTGCATTTCTGCTTCCGGGCGTCTTGGGAGAATAAATGGTGTTAGTAGGCGAGGGGAGCCTATTTAATGTTTTTTAAAACACAGGGACACTTTTGTTCCAGATTTGACTTTTTTAATGAATGTTTCTAAAATACGTTAATAAGACACCAAAGCTGTGAGGGTTTGGGGGGTTTTTTCCCCCTCTACTCAAGATAGCAAATTAAGTGCCCAGCGATGTTTTTTAACTCATTCCAGTCAGGGTATTTTTTTACACATTGCCTAAATCTATGCCAACTGGAAAACCATCTCTGCTCTCTTTTCTCAAATGAGGTCAATGAGTCCTTTTTATTTTAGCCTTAAAATACTTCTACTGTGATAGATAGTTCATCATCTGACCCAGCTCCCTCTAATTTGAAATTGACACTTCTAAAAAATGCAACTAAGTGGTTATCGGTGTGTGATGTTCAAAGTTCATCTAAACTGGAAAGATTGTGTGCAGGGCTTTTTTTTTTTTGGTTAGGTTTTTTTTTTAATTTTATACTTTCAAATAAACTTGCAGTTTCATTCTTTATTGGTGTGACTGGTTCTTAACATTCCTTTCTCCTCTACGGCGACATAAAAAATGAACAGTCACTCCTGTCACGGCTTCTGAAATGAATTTATGCCATCATAAAGGGAGAAAAGAGAAGAGTGTATTGATGGGACCCTGGAATATGAGGGGCAGGCAATTAAGGGTTCTGCAGCCAGTGTGATGGGAATCCAGAAGTAAAATCAGTAGGTCTGGTTAGTATCATGGGCCCTGGGAGGTCCCTCAGAAGACGGGCATTAGCTGTGTTCACCCCGGTGCTGTCTATAGGGGGAGGGGAGTGACTGTGATGACCGTGACAGGCTGTGACCGTGTCATCAGGGCTGCACAGCAGTGCCAGCACAAGTGTGCCAATAATGGGTGTTGAGCCACAAATGGGGCAGGCTGGCCCTGTCAGTGATGAGATCATCTTTGTGCTCTTTTAAGTTTCACTTTAGAACCGTGTCCCGACTGATGCCACAAGGACAGTCGCACAGGACATCAGGATGCCCAGGGGGTCACTACTGCCACCACCCATGAACAGGACAAGTAGTCTTGGTCTTGGTCTTGGCCACAGGTGAAATCCACAAGTGCAGGCCAGCTCACATGCTCCCCCACGTGGTCTAGGGTAGACCGCCCCAGAGGTTTGTCAAGTTGCTGATGTCTCCATCTCCTGGGGTGTCATGTTTTAATAGGTGCCACCATGAAGAAGTGATCGAGAAGTGCTAATCCAGAGCAGATGATCAGCAAACATTTTGTGTAAAAGGCCAAATAATAAACATTTTTGGCTTTGTGGCCAATGGTCTCTGTGGCAACTACAAAAGCAGCTGTCATCATGTAATACACAAATGAGTGCGCTGTGTTCCAACAACTACGTACAAAAATAGGTGACTGGTTGGCTTTTGTCTCCTGGGCTGTCATCTGCTCACCCCTGGTCTGAAGGAGCGTTCCCACACTGTGTTTGGGGGCCCAGAGCTGGGGACACTTTAGAGAAGTGTGTCCATGGCCTGGAATAGTAGAACCCTTGAAATGGCACCAACCTTCACAAAATTAAAAATAGAATAACTTCAGAAGGAGGCAATTCGAGGAGCTGTAAAATTCACTTTCATTGACCCTGTTAGCTGTTTTGCAGTGAATAAGGAAACAAAGGAGTGAGATGCATAGAGGTTTTCCCAGTAACATCCTCAACAAGTGGATCGAATGCAGCGGTCCTGGTCAAAAACAAAAAACAAAAAACCTCTCACTAAGGATTCTGTAAGACGATGAATTGACACAACAGTCTGTCTTTTAGAAGAAGGACAGGGATGAGTGGTCAGAAAGGTAGTCCCTGTGTTCTCCATTTAGCTTGCCACCCTCGGGAAGGCGGCAGATCCAGAGGTGAACTGTGTAAGAAGACCTTCAGCTGGCCGCAGCACAGGTGCCCGACCCGGACACAGGAAAGGAAATGCGAGCCAGTGAGAGCCTCGGGAGAAGTGTCGGCGGAAAAACAGGCAGATCACCCCTTGACATCTTATGATGAGTCACGTTCTTGGGAATGTCTGTAGAACCTCCGGTTGTAAATGATAGAAATTCAACTCTTGCAAGCTTAATTGTGTTTAGTTTTAGAAGACCCATTGGCTAATCCATCCAGGTCCAAGGGTATGGGGCTGTCGGTCTGGGACAGGACTGGCTGGATCCAGTCGCTCAACAACTGTCATTAGGAATCTCTTTCTCTCTCCCTAGCTTCTCAGCCTGGCCTTGCTCAGTGTTAGCTTGATGGCTTTCCATCAGGTGGAAGAGAGGGTCCCAGGGGTCCTGGCTCACCATCTCGGGAAAAGAGATACCATCTCCACGAGAGTCTATAGAAATTCCTTCAAATAGACTTGCTCGGTCCTATGGCTGCTACTGTGTGACAATCCATCTCTTGATTGACAGCCCCACATGAATTACCTTGGAACCCAAAAGGGACACATGGAAGGCAAAATACCAAGGCGTCTACTGTAGAACCTCACCAAGGAATGGGACCCACAGCTGGCTGGCACAATTTCTAGTTCATATAAGAAAAGAAAAAAGCATACAAATAAGAAGCTTCAGGTAGCAAAGCCAGGTCTGCAGCGAGCAGAGGCAATGTGACAGTGGAATTTCAGGAGACTCAACAGCCTTTCTCTAAACCTAGGAGGCAAGGTCAGGCTGCAGGCACCTGGGGCCTGGGTTAGGTGTGCTTGTGTGAGGTGGACATCTGGGGTGGGTCACAAGAGCACAGATGAAGCCACGCAGGAGGAGTTCCACACTAAAGAAACCTGAACCACCTTGTAGGTCCCAGAACTCTCCCCAAACCACTGAAAGCACTGAAATGGGCCATTTTCCCATGTAGGGTCACACCTAGCCTGCACCGGATTTTTAAGTGAGTGGATCAAGGACATGTTCCCATTGATCATTACCCTCGTCAGGTTACCCAAAGAGTCAGATTCAATTATGCACGTTGTTAACTAAACTTTCCAGGATTAACCCTTTTATTTATACCCTAAGAGCTAAGGTACATTGGTACCTAGGCAACCACCCTCTGGAAATTCTGGGACAGCTGATGCCACAGGAGCTGAGAAACCGCTGATGGACTGAATGTCCATCATGTTTGGGGTGTGAAGGCATGGCCATGGGGGACGGGGATGCAGTGTTGGGGGGGCTTGTTTGTTTAATGTGGCCGATGCTTTGACTGGGCTGGGTTTGGGCGTGTGGTCTGAGCAAGGCTGGTTCTCACTAGGTTCAGTGCTAGACAGTATTTGGCTTCACGTGGCTCTCCAGTTCACCCTGGCGAATCACCCCAGGGAGGCAGCAGAGGAAAAGGTACACAAAGGAGCCCACATGGGAGGTATTTATGGGCCAGGCTTGGAGGTAGCCATCACCTCCATTTGTATTCCATTGCCCGTCATCTGGTCAGTCTTACAGCCACACCTACCCACAAGGGAGGCTGGGAAGGGAGATTGGTTGTATGTTTGGGAAGAACCGGGAGCGGGGCTAGGCGCTGGCCCCCAAACACCTGTGTGTTCCGTTCACACGTGGAATACACTCACCCTCCGCCCCACCCCCGAAAGAAGAAACCCAACCGTCCCATGTAATCCGATTCCAAGTCCAGGAACTGGTGAAAATCTAGACGTCGGGCCCAGATGCGGCTCCCCTGGTAAGACGGTGCCCAGCCCCACAGCTCTCATCCTCTCTCTCCTGGACTGCCTCCCTGTGGTCTGTTGTCAAAATGCTTGAATAATTCAAAAATCAATCAGGATACAAGTCCAAATCATGGTCTCCTGGACCTTATACCATCAGCTCCCCGTGACCTATCTCACTTCATCTTCTGCTCTCCCTGCTCCTCCACCTGCTCTAGCTGCCTTCGCCACCTGGCCGGTTCTGGAACTCACCAGCCCCACTCCCCGCTCAGCACCTGGGCTCCGTGTTCCCTCAGCCTGGGACGCCCCTCTGCAGGTACCTGCGGAACTTCCCCCTCAGGGGACCACCAGGGGCCATGTCCACAGAGAGGCTCGCTACCGCCATCTTTGGGACCTCAGCAGTGGCCATGTGGGGACTCCTGGAGGAGAGGAGCCCCAGGGTGCTCTCTTGACCAACGTCTGGTTTCCACCCAAGGGATTTGGGTCTGCCGCCCTAGAGCAGAGCAGGGCATGGGCGCTTGGGAAGGAGCACTGGGGAATACGTTCGGAGCATGGCATGGAAATTTAATTTAATTTGATTTGGATCAACGTTCTTGGGTTGGGAAGCGAGTCAACTGAAGAAATGCCTTGATAATGGAAGTGATGTGGTGGAATGAGCTGAACAGGACCCGTCGGGGAGTTTGTTCCTGCAGTGACTCCGTGTGAAGTGTGGTGCTTTTGCACAGGAGCCCCGGCCAGACCTTTGTCCCGGAGTGTGTTCCTGGTGTGCCGGCCTGCGCGTCCGCTCAGGGCACGCACACATGCGTGGGAACCCCCAGCACCACAAACTGTGCATGCAGATGGTGGCGTCCCTGGTTCAGAGATGGAGAACTGGCCCCCAGCTCAAACAGGTACAAGCATGACAGAGATATTCCAGAAAAGAAGGGGTTGGCCTCCTTGTACGTGAAAAGTAAACAACTCAGCTCCCGAGTTGGAATCACTTGTCAGGAAATAATTGAATATGAGTGTCTTGAGCCTACTTGCTGGTTTGGCCCAAATCAAATAAGTGACTCTTTTGTGAAAACAGTGTGTGTGTTTGCGCAGTGTGGCAGCAGGGATCAGTCAGAGCCACAACAAGCGTTTATGGGAGTGAGGCATTGAATCTAGAAATTCGAGCCAACACTGATGAAGAGCTGGTGGAGCGAAGGCCCGGAAGGATCAGGTGGAGGATCCGAGACACGGTTACCAAGGACGCCAGCCTGGGCCTGGGGCGGGTGGAGAAACCAGAGCTTGCACCAAAGGCCAAGAGGCCACTGCGTGGACTTCTAAGGTGGCACTGCAGCGAGGGAGCTCCCGGAGAGGACTGCGAAGCCGGGTGTCTCATGAACCCGCCCCCTGAGCATGAGGACTCTGCCTGCACATTTGCCTTCAAATCTCAGACAGGCGCGCCTGCCATTGGCACACTTGCCCTGGGAACCACACGGGAGGGGACTCAGGAAGCTTGGTTCCCAGGAGAGGGCGGAGACAGCAGGCGTCAGCCCCCTGAGGACCGCGATCTTGGGCCACGCAGTGGATTCCAGCCCAGACCTGCCATTCTCCAGGGGAAGGGATTCTTACTGTGTAGCGACCTGGACTCAACAAGTATGGGACCTCCATTTCTTTGTATCTAGGGAGAAGAGGGAATTTCACTTTTGACTTTGAAGTCTTGTAGGCGTACCCAGTCGTTGGAGTTCACAGTTTTCAAAAAGACAATGATTCCATGATATGATTTGGTATAATCTCTGGTAAACTGGACGATTGATGTCAGGAAATAGAACTAATAACTTTAGAGTTATTTTTATTAATGATCTGTTTTCACCCTGAACAG